TTGGAGTTTAAGGGTTCAGGGATTTCATTGGTTTAGGGCTGAGGGGTTTTTAGGCTTTAGGGGGCTTTTCGGGTTGAGGGGCTTTTTGGCGTTTAGGGATTCGGATTTTTGGGGTTTGGGGTGTTTAGCCCCCCTGCCATTTGCAAACACAACACTCGCACGATGGGCTCAGAAAAAAATAAAGCGGGGGGTGGGGGGGGCGCAGCCCCCCCCCCATTGCATGTGCGGCTTAACAAGCGAGGGGGCAAGGGGGGGCGCTGCCCCCCCAACACAATGCACGCATGATGGATTGGAATTAGCAAGCATTTGCAAAGACAATGCTCGCGTGATGGGTTTGAAAGATGCCTGAAGCAAGCTTGCGCGGCTTAACAAGCAGTGGGTATGCTGGGGGATTGCTGCGTCCTGCCTTCAGGAACAGAGTATGAAGCAGGCATGGGGACTCCATGTTTTTGCTTTTTGCATGCTTTTGGTGTTTGGTGGCATCTTGGCCATATGCCCACTCGAAAATCACATAATGTCCCATTTGGCAAGCTCGCAGACGCGGTGAGCAGAGATCGCCCGAGATTCCGTGGCCAACCGACAAGCGCAACGCATGCGCTTCAGCCGTCGAAGGCACACCCAAATAGAGTTCACTTGCGCCTGGCTTCGTTCCAAGGCTCTGCAAAAGTACCAGCCTGAAGAAGCCTGTGCATAGCTTCCAGCCTTTCTTGTTTGTACAGTTTCATCTTTTTCTTTTTGTCTAGTACTTGCCACTGTCATCCGTGCCATTGACGCAGTCTGATTACCAAGGGCGGCCCAACATGTTAGGGCTTGTAGAGGCCCCGGGCGCTCACTCCGTGCCATATAGTTTGATGGCCCTTGACAAGTCACCTGGTGCAGCAAAAGCCTGAAGTTATGCGACTTCTTGCACAAAGCCTGCCCTAACTTTGAACTTGTGCCCGTGGCATTGTCTTTACTCTGCCGCCTATTTCTCAACCCGCACGCAAAGGGGGGCTTTACTGCCGAATGCTTGACACGAAAAGCATCGTTTCTTTTGCCTGCGCCTCGAAAGTGCGGTGCAAATTTCTGGCTCAGGCAGCCCACCTGCCGATGCCACCCGTCCCAAACAAGAGTGCTAGCCCTTGCACGCTTTTGTGTAGCTTTTTGAAGCATTTTTTTTTTTTTTTTTGTGTGTGTGTGTGTGTGTTTCAATTCTACATATTTTAGCCTACTTGCAATATGCCTCGCCTAGCCATCTTGGTTCCGTTGTTCTCTTTGGACTTGCCCGGTGTTGCGTTCCTCGAGCTTCGCCGGCTCATTGGCTGGCCTTACTTGTAGAGACGTTTGTCTTTAATTGCGGGGTCTAAGTTATACATGGCTTCGTTTTGCCTCAGCCTACCGGCAATTCACAAAATCGTGCCACTTTTTACCTGATTTTTTATGTAGCAAAATGGCTGAGCGTGTAGTCTAGAGCACTTGCAGATGTTTTCCATCGAAATGTTCGCGGATTCCCCGCTCATTTTGAAGAAGAGATCAAATTTGAGGTGGAAGAAGCAGCTTGCCTTGTTTGCATGTGGCATATGTGCATTGTTGCATTTGTTGCTCGGTATGCAAATGAAATAGAATCGCACGAGAAGGAGACCGAACATGTAGTTTGGAACACGGGTAGCTTTGCACTGGAGCAGCGAGTCCCGGACCAAGTTTCTTGAACATGTACATGTTCCATGAAAGTCAGCTGGTTCTACTTTTGTATGGTTCAGATCAGCACAGCACTTGCTGGCAAAGTTAACGTTAGCGGCGCAATGACGGCCGGGCCAATACTTGCAGAAGATGAATGGCATGATTGGCAGCCGGTGGAGCAAACAGCTTTGGACTTTTTGTCAGCACCTCGTCAGAATACAAGCAGTTGGGTTGCAACAGTCAAACGATCGAGCCTACAGGAGAAGCATGACAGAAATGACGACAATGATAATTCCGACTACGAGGAGGAAGAGGAAGACGAAGATGAATGGAATCCGCTAATGCAAGGCGGAGCAGGATATTCAACAGCAGATTCTTCCCGACAGTCTTTGACAGCTGAAGCCAAGCAGCTGACCGCTGATGAAGTTGCGGAGGCTGACGGTTTGTGAGTGCATCATGAGCGATTTCGACATGGTTGCATTCGGAAGCGGTTGGCGTGTTGACATGAAGCATTCAGTGCATTGAACATGGTTTGGCAGTGGTCAGGTTGCTTTGACTTGTAGACGCTTGCATCGTTGACAGGAATGCGGCAGCGATGAAAGTGATGAAGATTGGGCACCTCAGTCCCAGGGTGCCGCCAATGTCGAAAAATCTGAGGAGGAGGCATTGAAAGTCCTTCTGCAGCCTAATTATGTCAAGGACATCCGTCCGGAGCGACTTAGCAGCACTGTCATTCGGCATCCGTCACTTGCACAACTTGTTTTGCTCATGGCTTCAGTTTTTCAGGATATTCGAAACCAAAAAGGAAGCTGATGCGGCCGGACGACTGTTGCACCAGCTTCAAAGGCTCAACATGATGCATAAACAACGCATGGTCTGCGGACCTCCCCGGACATGCAATAGTGCTACATGTAGCCTCTTCTGCAAGGCTTGCAGTCAGCAGGACTCATTCGGAAAGAGTGCGAGAATGTGTGAGACATGGGATATCTTGAGAGCGACGGAGGCCACCGACTTGGGAAGAAGTCAAGGAAGACATGCCTCGAGGTCCCGATGTGGATCCGGATCTTCTGGATGCGCCCACCTACAAGAACATGACGCAAGAAGAAGCCATAGAGCTGGTGCGCCGAGGCTTGTCTTGTTGGGATACAATCGGGGTGCCCTGGGGCTGGCACAAGATGTTCCAAGTAGTTCTGCCTGCTCTTGGAAATTGCACAGGTGCATCGGTGAATTTTCATGGACAGCACGGGCGAATGCCTCTTCATAAGGCATCGGAAAAGGCTTTCCCACATCTGGTCAAGTCTCTATGTGAAGCCCGTGCAGATCCAGACGGTCGTGATCAGTTCGGCACCTTTCAGAAAAAATGCACAAGCTTTGCCGTTGAGACACGCGGTAAACGAGCTGTTATTCCGTGCTGTTCTTGCCTCGGGCGCAGGAGTCAACGTGTCATGGCAGGCTAGTTTGGTGGGGTGTGGTTGCAGCCTAGGCGAGACGCCACTTCATCTTCTGGCGAAATCGGGCAGTTGGGATGAATCGATTCCTAAATCGCGACGCTGTGAAACCATTCAGATGCTGCTGCATCATGGTGCTGATGTGCATGCTGTAAACCCCCGTGGACGCGGAGTTCTTCATCTCGCGGTAACAGAACATGATGCTCTTGCCATTGAGACGTTTATTGAAGGCATGGCGGATGTCAATGCCCAAGACCTGGCAGGATTCACTCCACTCATGTGGGCAGCCGGAAGAGACTCTGCTGATTCGGTCAAGATGCTTCTGGACTGCGAGGTGGCCGGTGGCTTTTCGATTGGAAGAGTCCTTGAGTATCTAGCCATCATACCTTTCATTTCGAAAGCACCGCTGTCTTCAAGTGCCCGTATTACATGCAGGCCGACATGAATGTCAAAGCCGCCCGTGGGCAGACTGCCATGACATTCGCGCTCACCAACGGATGTAATGCGATAGTCGATATGCTCGAAAAGCACCAAGCGATTCTGGATGCAGAGGAGGCCTGGACGTTTGCACGGCGTTTGCATGACAAGGATATACAAGGATCGACAGGATGGCCATGGTATGCCAGCATATGCCAGCGAGATCATGCCACAGAGTAGCCGAGGCCAAACGTATCAAGGAACGAGGTGAAGGCCGCAGCGACGAAGCCGAGGTGCGTCTGAATCGTTGTTCCAGTATACAGGAGTTCCCGTTGCATGACGTATTGTGAAAGTATGGTCCTTCCCACATTCTGCTATAGCATACCAAGTGCAGTCGTGAAGTGCGGTCAGCATGAAGTTATGAAGTTATTTGGCCGTGCTGGCTTGTGGCAAGCTCCCAGAGCTTTGCATTACTTGGTCAGTTCGGTCAGGACAGGCGAAAGCCGGTTTCATTTGGGCTGGTTGGTCGCTGTCGGGGTCATCATTGGAGGTAGTTGAAGGCAGAGATACTTGTAGTTGCAACTTCACGCTTGCGAGATTGCCTAAGGTCAAGAAACATACGAACACAGGTGGTGGTTGGTGCTGTTGGTCGAACCACGTTCTCACAAACAAAGACCACACACGCACTCACGCACGCACGCACGCACGCACCCACGGCCGCCGCGCCGCAGTCACACCCTCACGCACACCCACACGCAGACCCACACGCACACGCACGCGCATGCGCACGTGCACACGCACAGGCACCCGAGCCACGCACAGGCACCCGAGCACCCGCGCACCCCTCAACAACACACCCCACACCCACTCATCCGCCTTTCATGTAAGCCGTGGACATGAAGTTGTTCGTGTTCCTGTTTTGACATGTACAATGCAAAAGGTCTAGCGCATAGTTTCATTTTTTGGGTTGTTAATCTCGACTGCTATCATCCTACGTACTTTAACGCATGTCCCTGTGACTTATTATACCACTTATTACCGCTTATTAAAGGTACCAAGTACTTGAGAGACAACCCTTATTCGTGGTGTTGTGGGCGCCCGTGGCAATCAACAGTAAGTACATGGAGAGCGAAGCGAAGAATCTCAGGAAAGGGTAAGTTTAAGGCAAAAAACTCGCGGATTTCGTCAGAGCTGCACAGGAGGTATGGAACGAAGAGCTGCAGCTTCCCAGACCAGATTGGGCCTGCAAACACGCCAAGCCGGACGACGTTCAAGCTTATTCAGGTCGAGTTTACGCAGAGGCAAGGCCAGACAGGCCAGGTAGCTCAGCATTTTGATTCCATGTGTTGCATAGGTTGCAATTTGATGTACTTGTGCCTTCCAACAGCCCGCGGAGGCATTCCAATGTGTACGTGGAGGCGAGACCTCGCTCTTGACATCTGCTTGGAAAGAGAGCGGTCGCAGGGTTGGCTGGTTGATGGCGCCGCCGGGTTCTGCAAAGCGTGGCATGTCAAGTGGTGCGCTGGTCAGCTTTGTCGCCGCAGCTTGACGCAGACCTCATAGGTGAGTAAAGCAGCTGTGCAACAAAGTGGGAGCCGTTGGGGAGGGTTGGAAGAATGCGAATTTCTGCAGTTTCAGCCGTGGAATAGCCATGGAATAGATATCGAGGAAAAAGAAGACGGGCTGAATGCTAAGTTTTAATCTGATATGAAGAAGTGCGAACTGACATTCTATGTCCTTCATGCTGGAGCAATGCTGGAATGGCTGGATTCGTCAGATGGTTCTGGCGTGAAGGCTCGTGTCGCCATCAAGCAGCATGGGCATGTCGTTGCACCATGGGCCGCATCGTGCGTCCCTTTTGTGCAGGTATCTCAAGTCTATGATTCTGTGACGACCGGCCTGCAAGCCTTCTACCGTACCAAGCTGTTGCCGATTGAGAAGGATCATCTGTTCCATCAGTTCTACTCCCCGGAATTGACAGCAACTTCCCTGAACAGTCCAAAACAGCACAGATGTCAGCATTGGATGCTAATGGTCGGATTCTGGCAGCGGCATGCATGTCTGAGGATGCCGACTTTGCCTCTGCACCCATGGTGCTGCTGATGGGCCAATACTCCACGGGCAAGACGACATTCATCCGGCATTTGCTTCAACGCGACTATCCTGGGATGAGAATTGGGCCGGAACCGACGACGGATCGATTTGTGTGCGTGCTGCATGGGGAATCGGATGTCACGACTGCCTGGCATGTCTTGTTCTTGCCATGATTTCGGATATGATCTGGGTACCTTAAAATGAGCTTCACCCTCCACTGCAGCATTCCTGGCAATGCCTTGGTGGTGGACCATGAGCTGCCCTTCACACAGTCCAAGCCCTAGAAAGTCGTCGCACTTGTTTGCAACACTGACTTGCCAAGCTGTCGAGTCCTACTGTAAACGAGTCAAAGAGCCGCCTTGCTTGTGTATCACAACAGGTCAGTGTTGAAAGTCGCTTGCAGTATTCGCTTCGCACCGTTGTGATTTATGACAGTTGTTATGCCTCGTTGTGGCACTCTGTGAGGCTCAGCCACTTTGGCAATGCGTTCCTCAGCAGGCTTGAAGCCTCGAGGCTTTCCAGCCCGATCTTGGAAGGGCCAGGCACCCGGTTACATCGGTTAGTTATTCAATTATTCCTTGAAGCAAGTTCAATAGTCACCGGCTGCAGGCTGACTTTGATTGATACGCCTGGAGTTCTGTCGGGTGAGAAGCAGCGCATCAAGAGGCTGAGAGTGTCGGTTCTCCTTCAGTTTTTGTTATTCCCCACATCTTTGTGTGGGGTTCTTACTTTTAGGGCTGTCCCGCCTCTTCCTCCTCCTCCTCCTCCTTCTCCTCCTCCTCCTTCTCCTCCTCCTCGTCCTCTTTCTTCCTCCTCTATCATCACGCACACCACGCACATCACGTATCACATCACGCACATCACGCACTTCATGCGCCACATAGCTCCATCACGCACTACATCATACATGCACATCACGCACCTCATGCACACACATCACCATACTGCACAACATCAGGCGCGCGCGCGCGCGCGCGCGCGCGCGCGCGCGCGACACATGCGTCGTTTGTGCTGACAGGCGCGGTACTTAGGGGCCCTGGACCTTTGCCGCGCGCTGGGGGGCTCGCCAAACGCTGGCAGGCGCGACACATGCGTCGTTTGTGCTGGCAGGCGCGGTACTTAGGGGCCCTGGACCTTTGCCGCGCGCGCGCTGGGGGGCTCGCCAAACGCTGGCAGGCGCGACGCATGCGTCGTTTGTACTGGCAGGCGCGGTACTTAGGGGCCCTGGACCTTTGCCGCGCGCGCGCTGGGGGGCTCGCCAAACGCTGGCAGGCGCGACACATGCGTCGTTTGTGCTGGCAGGCGCGGTACTTAGGGCCTGGACCTTTGCCGCGCGCGCGCTGGGGGGCTCGCCAAACGCTGGCAGGCGCGACACATGCGTCGTTTGTGCTGGCAGGCGCGGTACTTAGGGGCCCTGGGCCCTTGCCGCGGGCGCGCTGGGGGGCTCGCCAAACGCTGGCAGGCGCGACGCATGCGTCGTTTGTGCTGGCAGGCGCGGTACTTAGGGGCCCTGGACCCTTGTCGCGCGCGCTGGGGGGCTCGCCAAACGCTGGCAGGCGCGACACATGCGTCGTTTGTGCTGGCAGGCGCGGTACTTAGGGCCCCTGGACCTTTGCCGCGCGCACGCGCTGGGGGGCTCGCCAAACGCTGGCAGGCGCGACGCATGCGTCGTTTGTGCTGGCAGGCGCGGTACTTAGGGGCCCTGGACCTTTGCCGGGCGCGCGCTGGGGGGCTCGCCAAACGCTGGCAGGCGCGACGCATGCGTCGTTTGTGCTGGCAGGCGCGGTACTTAGGGGCCCTGGGCCCTTGCCGCGCGCGCGCGGGGGCTCGCCAAACGCTGGCAGGTGCGACGCATGCGTCGTTTGTGCTGGCAGGCGCGGTACTTAGGGGCCCTGGACCCTTGCCGTGCGCGCGCTGGCTCGCCAAATGCTGGCAGGCGCGACCCATGCGTCGTTTGTGCTGGCAGGCGCGGTACTTAGGGCCCCTGGACCTTTGCCGCGCGCGCGCTGGGGGGCTCGCCAAACGCTGGCAGGCGCGACGCATGCGTCGTTTGTGCTGGCAGGCGCGGTACTTAGGGGCCCTGGACCTTTGCCGCGCGGGCTCGCCAAACGCTGGCAGGCGCGACACATCCTTTGTGCTGGCCGGCGCGGTACTTAGGGGCCCTGGGCCCTTGCCGCACGCGCGCTGGGGGGCTCGCCAAACGCTGGCAGGCGCGACACATGCGTCCTTTGTGCTGGCAGGCGCTGTACTTAGGGGCCCTGGACCGTTGCCGCGCGCGCGCGCGCGCTGGGGGGCTCGCCAAACGCTGGCAGGCGCGACACATGCGTCCTTTGTGCTGGCAGGCGCGGTACTCAGGGGCCTTGGACTCTTGCCGCGCGCGCGCTGGGGGGCTCGCCAAATGCTGGCAGGCGCGACGCATGCGTCGTTTGTGCTGGCAGGCGCGGTACTTAGGGGCCCTGGACCGTTGCCGCGCGCGCGCTGGGGGGCTCGCGAAACGTTGGCAGGCGCGACACATGCGTCCTTTGTGCTGGTAGGCGCGGTACTCAGGGGCCCAGGACCGTTGCCGCGCGCGCGCGCTAGGGGGGCTCGCCAAATGCTGGTAGGCGCGACACGCGCGTCGTTTGGGCTGGTAGGCGTGGTACTCAATAGGCGCCACCTACCATATCATGCGTGCCGCACCACACCATGGGCGCCATGTACCGCACGGTACGCACCATGCACCACACAGTACGCGCATTGCAAACTGAAGCCTGGTCAGGGCGGTCGTTGGCCGTGCTTTGTGCTTTTTTTTTTCCCCACATCTTTGTGTGGGGTTCTTACTTTTGGGGCTGTCCCGCCTCTTCCTCTTCCTCCTCCTCCTCCTCCTTCTCCTCCTCCTCCTTCTCCTCCTCCTCGTCCTCTTTCTTCCTCCTCTATCATCACGCACATCACGCACATCACGCATCACATCACGCACATGACGCACTTCATGCGCCGCGCAACATCAGGCACGTACTGCATCACGCATCACGCACCTGATGCGCCACATAGCTCCATGACGCACTACATGATACATGCACATCACGCACTTCATGCACACACATCACCATACTGCACAACATCAGGCGCGCGCGCGACACATGCGTCGTTTGTGCTGACAGGCGCGGTACTTAGAGGCCCTGGACCCTTGCCGAGCGCGCGCTGGGGGGCTCGCCAAACGCTGGCAGGCGCGACACATGTGTCGTTTGTGCTGGCAGGCGCGGTACTTAGGGCCCCTGGACCTTTGCCGCGCGCGCGCGCGCTGGGGGGCTCGCCAAACGCTGGCAGGCGCGACACATGCGTCGTTTGTGCTGCCAGGCGCGGTACTTAGAGGCCCTGGACACTTGCCGAGCGCGCGCTGGGGGGCTCGCCAAACGCTGGCAGGCGCGACACATGCGTCGTTTGTGCTGGCAGGCGCGGTACTTAGGGCCCCTGGACCTTTGCCGCACGCGCGCTGAGGGGCTCGCCAAACGCTGGCAGGCGCGACACATGCGTCGTTTGTGCTGGCAGGCGCGGTACTTATTAGGGGCCCTGGACCTTTGCCGCGCGCGCGCTGGGGGGCTCGCCAAACGCTGGCAGGCGCGACGCATGCGTCGTTTGTGCTGGCAGGCGCGGTGCTTGGGCCCTGGACCCTTGCCGCGCGTGCGCTGGGGGGCTCGCCAAACGCTGGCAGGCGCGACACATGCGTCGTTTGTGCTGGCAGGCGCGGTACTTAAGGCCCCTGGACCTTTGCCGCGCGCGCGCTGGGGGGCTCGCCAAACGCTGGCAGGCGCGACACATGCGTCGTTTGTGCTGGCAGGCGCGGTACTTAGGGGCCCTGGACCTTTGCCGGGCGCGCGCTGGGGGGCTCGCCAAACGCTGGCAGGCGCGACGCATGCGTCCTTTGTGCTGGCAGGCGCGGTACTTAGGGGCCCTGGACCGTTGCCGCGCGCGCGCTGGGGGGCTCGCCAAACGCTGGCAGGCGCGACGCATGCGTCCTTTGTGCTGGCAGGCGCGGTACTTATAGGGGCCCTGGACCTTTGCCGCGCGCGCGCTGGGGGGCTCGCCGAACGCTGGCAGGCGCGACACATGCGTCGTTTGTGCTGGCAGGCGCGGTACTTAGGGGCCTTGGGCCCTTGCCGCGCGCGCGCTGGGGGGCTCGCCAAACGCTGCCAGGCGCGACGCATGCGTCCTTTGTGCTGGCAGGTGCGGTACTTAGGGGCCCTGGACCGTTGCTGCGCGCGCTCTGGGGGGCTCGCCAAACGCTGGCAGGCGCGACACATGCGTCCTTTGTGCTGGCAGGCGCGGTACTTAGGGGCCCTGGACCCTTGCCGCGCGCGCTGGGGCTCGCCAAACGCTGGCAGGCGCGACGCATGCGTCCTTTGTGCTGGCAGGCGCGGTACTTAGGGCCCCTGGACCCTTGCCGCGCGCGCGCTGGGGGGCTCGCCAAACGCTGGCAGGTGCGACACATGCGTCCTTTGTGCTGGCAGGCGCGGTACTTAGGGGCCCTGGGCCCTTGCCGCGCGCGCTGGGGGGCTCGCCAAACGCTGGCAGGCGCGACACATGCGTCCTTTGTGCTGGCAGGCGCGGTACTTAGGGGCCCTGGACCCTTGCCGCGCGCGCGCTGGGCGGCTCGCTAAACGCTGGCAGGCGCGACGCATGCGTCCTTTGTGGGCAGGCGCGGTACTTAGGGGCCCTGGACCCTTGCCGCGTGCGCTGCTTAGATGTCGGCCGTGCAGGTACAGATGATCTCCCCTCATGGGCGGAAAGCGGCCTTGCACCGCCGACGCTCGCTGTATCTGCCGACCCGGATTGGGAAGGAGATCAAGCGCTTGCTCAGGAGACGCACTCGGCGACTAGCGTCGCCCCTTCATTTAACAAAGATCGGCAGCTACATTGGTTCTGCGACCTGGGGTCGCGCCTCACCAATGTACGACTGACACACATGTTACTTGTGCAATTATTCTTGCGTCACTCTTTACTTTCGCGCGGTGTCGCACTCGCACTCCCGCACACACACTCACACCCACGCACTCACACTCACGCACTCACTCATGGCCACACTCACTCCATCGCTCTCTCACTCTCACTTCTCTACTCTTTCTGAATGGAAAACTTTGCATGTGGGGTTATCCGGTCCTTTAATTCAGCTTTGTGGGCGCATTGTCCTAGGGATCAGGAGGTTCTAGCTGGAGAACCTGATGTTGGGGGCGCTCTCTTCATTCGCGCGTACATCTTACTCCGAAATACAAGAATAATATGATCGGGGCAAGTGCTGTACGCGTAGTCAATTGAATTCATGCCTTCGCTTCACTCCTTATAATTTAGCTGAATACGCTCGCTGTACGTCAATAGTCTGCGTGTCCTCCGTCCTGCTGCAGATGTGTTGTGCAGAGAAAAGAGGGGGTCCCGGTCAACGAAGGCCCCCGTCCCCAACTCGTGAAAACGCAGACCGCAATAAGGTTTCGTCGCTCCTTGGCACTGCTATGTGCGGCGGGGGAGCCAATGAGCACAACACACAGTTCCACAAGTGATGGATAGACGAGAGATGACGAGAGAACGTTCCACGCATCTGTGTGTGTGTGTGTAAACACCTGAACATGGTGATCAGTCATTCTGTGCCAATCTGCAGGGGGCCAGAGGGGGTGTGGGGGTGGCTCTGCCCGCCGAAGCTCCCCCCCACACCCCAGGTAAACGTACCTGCGTTGGTCTGTGCCTGGACTCTGTCTAGAGTAGCTGGCAGGGCCCTCACCCTCATTTTCATTTCCACTTCATTTCGCGTTGTACCATTCCTCTGAGTCTGGTACAGCGAGGCAGGACCCTACCTCATGTTTGCATCATCTCATCAAGTTTGCACATGCCATTTCTTGTGTCTGGCCTGTCTGGTAAAAAATCTTCATTTCACCTTCATGCCCCCAAACACCCTTAAGATTGCACACAGCATCAGTTCATGCCAAGACAAAGTGTGTACCAGTTCTGGCAATTCCCGACATGGGGCCAGATCTCAGGGGCATGTGCCCAAGCCCGCGATAGCGGATGAGTGAATACCAGCTCTGCAGGCGCCAGTTTTTCATCCATCGGGATCATCTGCAGGAGGATGACATGTGCCCGCAGTGGGCTTCATCGGGATCATCGGACGATTGCACGGGCAAGGGCCGCGGACAAGGGTTGGTCAGTACACGTTCATGCAGGACAATTGAACAGGCAGGCACACGCTCAAGGTGAGGAATACATATTACATGAGGGTGTCTGCGTTTGCATTCTGCATGCTGCACGCTGGCCCCCTGTTGCGTTGTTTTTTCGTTTCTTGTTGCCTCCTGGTGCTGGACCTGTATTGTTGTCTAGCCCCGTCTCTTGTTGCTGTTCATGTCAGTCATGCCTTTGCGCCCTTCGGGGCGTGTGTGTGTGTGTGTAAACACCTGAACATGGTGATCAGTCACTCTGTGCCAATCTGCAGGGGGGCAGAGGGGGTGTGGGGGTGGCTCTGCCCGCCGAAGCTCCCCCCCACACCCCAGGTAAACGTACCTGCATTGGTCTGTGCCTGGACTCTGTCTAGAGTAGCTGGCAGGGCCCTCACCCTCATTTTCATTTCCACTTCATTTCGCGTTGTACCATTCCTCTGAGTCTGGTACAGCGAGGCAGGACCCTACCTCATGTTTGCATCATCTCATCAAGTTTGCACATGCCATTCCTTGTGTCTGGCTGTCTGGTAAAAAATCTTCATTTCACCTTCATGCCCCAAAACACCCTTAAGATTGCACACAGCATCAGTTCATGCCAAGCCAAAGTGTGTGTGTGTGTGTGTGTGTGTGTGTGTGCGTGCATGTGGCTGTCTGTCTGTCAGTGTGTCTGTTTCGTGTGTGTGTGTGTGTGTGCATTCCCGTGTTCCAAGGAGTCCTTTTTGTGTAGTCACAAAGCAGGGGGCCAGCGCTCTCCCTGGGGGTCGCTGGCCAACGAAGACGCCCCCAGGGCGCGGTGAAAACGTGCCTGTACGCAGATGCAGTGAGTATAACTTTCTAGCTAACTCTTCGGGTGTGTCCAAGTGTGTTTTGTGTGTGTGTGTGTGTGTGTGTGTGTCTCTGTGTGTCTGTGCGTGCGCGCACAAGCATGCGTGGGCGCGGGCACGGGTGTGGGCGTGGGCCTCGGCCGTGGGCGTAGGCGTGGGCGTGGGCGTGAAGTTCAGTGTTGCAGGACGCTGCAGCCAGAGTCTGCCCTAATTATGTACAAGCCGAGTTGAGGCAAAAAATGGCGCAAGTGCAAGTGCAAGTGAGTGCTTGTTTGTTCAGGGGCTATGAGTTCGAAGCTGTCGTCAAGTGGTTTGCCGATCGAGTGGCATGCGCCTTACCCGAGCTTGAAGTCTTGCACAATCCGCTCAGATGTTGACAAAAGTGTCCCATGGCAACACCAGAGCAGCCGCTAGAGAGCTGTTGAAATGCTGACCGCATCACTTCATATCACTTCCCTCCCGTGATGCCCCCTGATCAGATTCTTCTGCAAACTCGGACCTGGACAAACATGTTTACTTCGGTGTATTTGCACGCCTGCCTTCGTAGCATGCACCTTCACGCATGGGAATATGTTGGTTGCCTTGACGATGGCACAAGAGCATGCATCCCGAAAATGTACATCCTGTTTAGGTGCGCACATTGATCTGTACCCTGCCTAAGGACATGATCTTGCTGTTGTTCGACGTGTCGAAGTTAGACATCAGTGATGAGTTCAGGAGACTTGTGGCGCAAGACAGACACACACACACAGACACTCACACATGCATCAACCTTGCAGGAGAGTCATACAGGCCACCAAAGGCAATGACCACAAAATTTGCATCTTGCTGAACAAGGCAGACAATGTCACGACGCAGCAGCTGATGCGGGTCTATGGAGTGGGACGCTCAGTTTAAGAGAAGCACTCTGTCAACCGTTCTCGGGAGGAAAGGCTGTCTCTGATTCTGTCATTGCACCTGATGTAAGGCATTGATGTGGTCGCTCGGCAAGGTGCTGGACACTCCGGAGGTTGCTCGTGTTTATGTCGGATACTTGGTTGGATTGGAACACTATTGGAACGCAGACAAATTTTGGTTGTCATGCCTGACTTTTGAGATGTGGTTCGATGATAGTTTCTGATAGTTGTAGCTGCCGGATGCCAGGAACCTTCTGGGATCAGCCACTGAAGAACGAAAAGCTTCGGGAACTCTTCGAGCAGGAGGACAGGAACACCGATTCCTGAATCAGAACTGTCAGCAAGAATGTCGTAGACAGGAGAACGACCTTTACACCAAGATTGCGCAGCTTCCCAGGAGTGCATCGCTCCGTAAAGTCAATGTGGCAGCCTTTGTGACCCTGTGTCAGAGAAGTGTCTTCAATATCCGAGTCTGCGTGGAACGCCAAGGACTTGATTAAAAGAGCCCGCCTGGCGAAGGTTCATGCGTTACTGCTGGATGGCGACTCAGTGCTACCGCCTCCTTTTGTACCACATGGTTGCTTCCCAGCTTGTGTAAGGACTACTTTTACCAGAGGATGCCGACGTTCTTTGGACATGCAAAAGAGCAGGAAAGGATGATACAGGATTTGCCAAAGATCTACCAAGAGGCACTACCGACAGTGTTGCGCTTGGCACTGCCATTTTTGGTGTGCGGCGAAGATCTTGCGTCAGCATTCCAAGTGCCGATGGGGCACTGCACATTCAAGGCCGCCTTGACAAGCGAACTGTCTGTTGTGGAAATCCAGTGCCAAGGCCTCCAGGCCTCCAGTGCCTCCCCTGGGCCTCTCTCAGGGCAGTGGCTGGAAGAGATGGGTTGGCTCAGAAGCGTCAAGCTTCAACGGAGATGGGAAGTGGAAACGCCGTACTTGAGTCCGGAATAGGAGTAGTAGGAGGAGTACCTGTGGCAGTGGGCGTGTTGTTCTTGTGTAGGGGCAGTGGTATTTGTTTGTGTTTGTGTGTGTGTGTGTGTGTGTGTTTCTCTTGGCAGTGGTGGTAGCGCTACTGGTAGCGACTTTGAGATCTTATGTATCAAGTCTTAGTCATTGTGCGTAGACGTACACCAACGCAAAACGAATAGTGCGCAAGAATGGGAAAGGGGCTTAGATGGCAGTTCTGAAAGTGTTGCGGAAAAATTGGAGGAACGGGTAATAAAGCTTGACAACTCCAGCCCTAACAGCTTTTTGTTGCAATGTTGGTAGCACTGCTACCGTAGCAGCAGCAAAGTTTTAGAACGAGGACATGCAGCAAAAGAACGAGAGGGTGCTGTCCAGAGGGGATGTGCACTTCAAGGGAAGCGAGGCAATTGTAGTTCTCAGAACCGGATAGCTTTGGAAAGCATGAAGCCGGGGTGCCGATTATGTTCCATTCTGATAACTATTGGTGTTTGGAGAGTTTTGGCAGTGCTTGGAGTTGGACAACAGACGCCCAATCGAGAAGCTCGACTCTTGCCCCAACCCCCGCTGGTCCACACCCAGCAATCTTTGCTTTCCGGCAACTCGAAATGATAGGCTGGTTGTTCTTGAAGCGTAGGACGTTGCTATTCCACTGGAAACAGATGCAGGAGAGCAGCTGTTGTAGAGATCCCCAGCATGTTTGGCTATTGAGTGGACCCGGTCAAGCATGATCAGCGGCTTTGGTGGCAGCTTTCGTTAGAAGCATACTATAGTGAATATTTTCGCGTGTTCTCAAGCCTGTGCAGATCTCGGTCCAGAAGGGCATTCCTTTGGGAGACTTCCCAGATCCGCGCATGATGCAGGTTGGATGTGGTTGGATATACTTGCTGCTTGCATGTGCCTTGCAGTGCACAGGGCCTTTGGAAAGTTTTGTTTGGCCATGTCAAGTTTGGTGCATGACCTTCCCTGCAGCAAATCCTTGCTCCGATGGATTTCTCGACGTTCAAGCCGGTGGATCCGGAGAAGCTGCAGGCACAGAGACTAATCAGGAGCCTGTGTCGTCTGCGCAATGTGCATGAAAGTGCATGATATCCTGTGCAGGCAGTGGAGACCCTGCTTGCCCTGGACCTGCCACAGCTTTTACAATTGATTCCGGAGGACTGGCTGGTGTCTTATCAAGGGGTGGGGTATGATGTCATGGTTAACAACAAATGGCGGAGTGCATGGGGTTTCGAGCTCCCATTTCTGGCGTTTGTGGGGCATGCTGTGGAGTGACGTTGACGTGTAGGGAATCACAGAGGACCTTCCGGCTAAGAAACGGGGCCTCGATGATTCGATGATGCTAATGCTGCCGATGCTCCGACTTGGGGATGGGCGGTTCCGGGCGAGCAGGTTCCTGTTGCGCAGTTGAAACTCATCTGAATGACTGTCAATCTGTGTTGCTTTGGGTGAGAGAGCTTGCGCCCCTCGCCGGTTTGTTCGTGCCTTTTTATGGTGCCAGATTGCAGTGCAACTCTGTGCATGTTGAGTGGAAACTGCTCCAACCATGTCGAAGGTTTTCAGATCCAGTGCTAACCTTCCTTCACCGCGCGATTTTCCATGTGCCATTCCATGTGAACCCGTTCAAGTTAGCCTGTTAAACGCCAAAGTCGTGCTGGACCTAAACTGCATGCAGAATGTTTATGACAGCCCTCGTGCAGGAGCAGATGCGGTACGGTGTGGAGGAGGCAGCCGTGGCACAGGCCGCTCGCAAGTATGCATCGATGTGAAGTTCTTATGCCGGCAAAGTTTGCGTTAGGTCGTTGGGCTGGCATCGCCTTTTGCGGTGATGAAAGTGGAGGGCAAGACCGAGCAATCTGCATACAAGGTTCCTCAATGTGAGATGCTACATGGAGAGTTGGCAAGCACATGGCGCTGAAAACGAATATCAGGGCCAGTGGCAGCGGCCACCTGCGGTCGAGCATTTCCAGGTGGGTGAGAGAGAGAACCCTTACCCTTCACGCAGGGCAGAAAAGGGAAAGAAAAAAAAGAGGGAGAGAGACAGTATTCACACCCTGCAACTCCCATTAACATTGATCCTCGACTACCATGTCCCGAAGGTGCTTCAAGCCGGAGACGGCTAGTTACCCTCAACAAACTAACGACGGAAATGCACACGGACAGCAGCACCGCTGCCAGCTCGAGGAAGTGAACAACCCTTGACCATTTCGAGAGGATGGGAACCGCCAGCACCACCAGACCAGCCGGTCCTATATACCTAGTGTTTTCAGGGGCACCTTCGAACGTGCCGACAACCCACCGCGCCCGGGTCACCCCTCTCCTCCCTGATCACTGGCCAAGGAATTTGCAAGATGAAACCTCAATTCCCGCGACATTTGCGAAGCTTACAGATGCCCGGAATTCCCAACCACGAACTTCGCGGAGTTTTCCGAGCCCCGGAATTGAAGAACCACGATATGGGCGAGGTTTTTGGAGGCCCAGAATTAAAAATTGCGATACTTGCGAGGGTTTTCGGACCGATGGAATGAAACAAACACGGCATTTTGCAAGGTTTTCGATTTCCCGGAATTACATGAACACTTTACAGACCACGATGTTTGCGAGGTTTTTCAGTTGCGCGAGGTTTTCGCACGCCGGGACATTTGCGTAATAACCACGAATGTGGCGAGGTTTTTGAACACCCGGAATTGGAGCAACACGATATTTGCGGGGTTATCAAAGAAGCATTTCGCGTACCAAGTTTGTACCACGAAAGAACGAGTTTCTGGCCACGAAGCTCCGGGACGCCTCCGGGAAGCATTTCGTGACACGCACTATCTCAGCGCTTCGACATGCACGATCCCCGCAGAGGGTTCATTGTCGTTGACAATGAAAACACGTACAGTGAGGGACGCTTCGACACGCTCGGGGGGTTTTTCAATCCAGGGAATTCGGGGACCGTGGTATTTGTGAGGGTTTATGAAGCACCGAATTCGGGGACCATGGTTTTTTGTTTTTTTTTGGTGGGGGTTTTGGAACCAGCGAATCCAGGACCATGGTATGTTTGCTCCCGGAGGTCGGCGGCGCACTACGTTTGTCTTGCAAAAAGAGCACAGCGGGAGCACTTCGACACGTGGGATCCCCGCAGAGGGTGCGACGTTGACAGCGCGCGGAAACGCAAAGCGAGAGCGCTCCGACAGTCGCGATCCTCGCAGAGGGTTCAACGAGCTTCAACATGCGCAAAAACATGCAAAAACGCACATCGAGAGCGCTTCGACACGCACGATCCCCGCAGAGGGTTCGTCGGCGACGATGTCCGAGTCGGTATACACTCGTCAGGAAGCCGCTCACACATGTTTTTTTTGCAGCTAGAAGTGGTGTTCGGTATGACACCACCCCGACGCCCTCCCTGGATGAATGCCTTTGCAGCCGCCTTTGATGCCTGAAAAGATTTGACAAAGTGCGAAGCGCAGAGAAGGAAGAAATGATGTCCACAATATTCCACAATGCATCTGATACGTGGCGGCTTGTCAAATCATCAAAATCCTGTAACCACATGCATTTTCCATTCTATTGCTCCTGCTTTTGCTTGTTGAACTGAGGCAGGGGGGCGGGCGCCAAAATAGCGACTAGAGCTCATGCCAGGGTAGATTCGCCGAGCTACTTCGACACTTAAAGTCCAGCGTTACTTAGACTTCAGGCGAGCGCAAGAGCACGTTCGCTAAATCGCCGGCGACGTTCAGGCCGACTTTGAAGAGTTGCAGCCAGTCGACGGAAAAATCAACGCCCAGCAAGCAAAGCAGAAGATGGTGGAGGCACCCTTGAGTTCGAACAAAGAGTTATGACTAGCTGGTGGCAGCTCATTGTGCAGAGCCACCTCCCCTCGAACGTGCTCCATCGAATCTGGTCCCTCGCGGACGTTGACAAGGCAGGTTTGTAACAAGCACAGCTGCAGAGTACTTGTGTGCTGGTACGGCCCGATGGTTCATACTTGCAAGGTCACAGAGAATTGCTGACTCACGATATTTCCGTTGAATGGCCTGAAGCGCACTCTCCCTCGCTGGGTCGCGCGCGTGTTGCAAACGCCTTCCGTGCGGCCGGAATCGGCTGCGGCGGCCGCCTGCTGACAGCCGCATGACCTGCCTGATAGCTGGCGAGTTGAAGATCTGATGAGCGTTTTCTTTGGAGGGCCTATTTTTTTGGGTCTTTTTTTTTTTTTTTTGGGCCTTTTTTTTTTTTTTTGGTCGATTTTCTTGGTTTTTCCTAAGAAAACCACCATTCCCTCCATATTTTTAAAGGATTTGATGCATTTTCGTGGTTTTTGGTACGAAAAACAGTAATTTCTCTGTGGTTTCATAGGAAAGCGTTATTTCTGGTACGTTTTAGAAGGAAAGAAGGAAAGAAAGGAAGGAAGGAAGGATGAAAGAAAGGAAGAAAACAAGGAAGGAAGGAAGGAAGGAAGGAAGAAAGGAGGGAAGGAAGAAAGGAAGGAAACAAGGAAGGAAGAAAGGAAGGAAGAAAGGAAGGAAGCAAGGAAGGAAGAAAGGAAGCGTGCTTCGAAGCCCAAGAAACTAGTTGAAAAACATCGTGTGAGCATTGTGTTTGCAAATGGGGGGGGCTGCGCCCCCCCCAACCCCCCCGCTTTTTTTGTTTTTTTTTAAGCCGTGCAGAGCGTGCGTGCTTCAAAGCCCAAGAAACTTGTTGACACCCATCATGTGAGCAGGGTGTTTGCAAATGGTGGGGGGGGCTGCACCCCCCCCAACCCCCCGCTTCTTTTAAGCCGTACCAAGCGTGCTTCAAAGCCCAAGAAACTAGTGGAAAAACATCGTGTGAGCATTGTGTTTGCAAATTGGGGGGGGGGCTGGCGCCCCCCGCTTTTTTTAAGCTGTGCAGAGCGTGCTTCAAAGCCCAAGAAACTTGTTGACACCCATCATGTGAGCATGGTGTTTGCAAATGGGGGGGGGCTGCGCCCCCCCCAACCCCCCCCGCTTCTTTTAAGCCGTACCAAGCGTGCTTCAAAGCCCAAGAAACTAGTTGAAAAACATCGTGTGAGCATTGTGTTTGCAAATGGGGGGGGCTGCGCCCCCCCCAACCCCCCCGCTTTTTTTTTAAGCCGTGCAGAGCGCGCTTCAAAGCCCAAGAAACTTGTTGACACCCATCATGTGAGCAGGGTGTTTGCAAATGGGGGGGGCTGCGCCCCCCCCCAACCCCCCCCGCTTCTTTTAAGCCGTACCAAGCGTGCTTCCCAACCCAAGAAACTAGTTGAAAAACATCGTGTGAGCATTGCAAATGGGGGGGGCTGCGCCCCCCCCAACCCCCCCGCTTCTTTTAAGCTGTACCAAGCGTGCTTCAAAGCCCAAGAAACTAGTTGAAAAACATCGTGTGTGCATTGTGTTTGCAAATGGGGGGGGGCTGCGCCCCCCCCAACCCCCCCGCTTTTTTTAAGCCGTGCAGAGCGTGCTTCAAAGCCCAAGAAATTTGTTGACACCCATCATGTGAGCAGGGTGTTTGCAAATGGGGGGGGGGGCTGCGCCCCCCCAACCGCCCCCCCGCTTCTGTTAAGCCGTACCAAGCGTGCTTCAAAGCCCGAGAAACTAGTTGAAAAAAAAGTATGAATCCGATGAAAATATAGAGGGAATGATAGAAACCAAGAAAACGAACCAAATAGGGTTTTCCCTAGGACAAACTAAGGAAAAGCAACGTACGCTTTGACGTTTGACGAAATCCGTCCAAAATGTAATCAGAAGAGGGTTTCCTTAGGAAAAACGAACGAAAACCTCGTTTTTTTCAAGCCGTGCAGAGCGTGCTTCAAAGCCCAAGAAACTTGTTGACACCCGTCATGTGAGCATGGTGTTTGCAAATGGGGGGGGGGCTGCGCCCCCCCCCAACCGCCCCCCCCGCTTCTTTTAAGCCGTACCAAGCGTGCTTCAAAGCCCAAGAAACTAGTTGAGAAACATCGTGTGAGCATTGTGTTTGCAAATGGGGGGGGGCTGCGCCCCCCCCAACCCCCCCGCTTTTTTTAAGCCGTGCAGAGCGTGCTTCAAAGCCCAAGAAATTTGTTGACACCCATCATGTGAGCTGGGTGTTTGCAAATGGGGCTGGGGCTGCGCCCCCCCCAACCCCCCTCGCTTTTTTTAAGCCGTACCAAGCGTGCTTCAAAGCCCAAGAAACTAGTTGAAAAACATCGTGTGAGCATTGTGTTTGCAAATGGGGGGGGGCTGCGCCCCCCCCAACCCCCCCGCTTTTTTTAAGCCGTGCAGAGCGTGCAAGACAGTAGTTGAAACCCATCATGTGAGCAGGGTGTTTGCAAATGGGGGGCAGAGCCCCCCCAACCCCCCCGCTTCTTTTGAGCTGTACCAAGCGTGCTTCAAAGCCCAAGAAACTAGTTGAAAAACATCGTGTGTGCATTGTGTTTGCAAATGGGGGGGGGCTGCGCCCCCCCCAACCCCCCCGGCTTTTTTTTTAAGCCGTGCAGAGCGTGCTTCAACCTAAGGGAAATTACAGGAAATCCGTCCAAAATGTAAAAAAATAGGTTTTTCCCTATGAAAAACCAACGAAAACCTCAGGGAAATGACAGAAAATCCGTCCAAAATGTAAGGAAAGTAGGGTTTTTCCTAGAGAAAACCAAGGAAATCGACAAAAAAAAAAAGGCCCAAAAAAAAAAAAAAAAAAATACCCAAAAAAAAACTCCACCCGTTTTCTTTCCTGTCAGCAAGAGGCGCCCGTGGCTTCTTCCTTTGCATGAACACAGCACTCGACGCGCCGATGCATGATGCACTTTGTGATCCTCTGTTTTCCTTTGTGCGGTTCTTGCCATGATGTTGCTTTCGAGTGTTCGACCCAGACCCGCGTCTCCTCCCAAATCAATCCTTCAATTTGCGCGACATGTCGCTTCCGTGGGTGCCGAATTGGCGGTGACTTGAACGGCTTCTTGGCTTTCGTTGGCCTGGCCGCTCCGTTCAACTAACTCCCTGGGCAGGATGGATGCCTGACTCTGCCGGAGTATGCCCTGGCAATGCACTTGGTGCAGATGAAGTTGGATGGTCAGGAGCATATGTTGTAGGAGGACAAGGAAGACATGTAGATTTGCAAGGGCTCTATCTCTTGTTTTCGTAGGCCGGAGGGAGGCCTGTTGTTGCGTCAGACGTGCGCCCGGACTCCTCAGACCTAAAGCCCTTAAATTCTAAAAACACACACAAAGGACGGCAAACTCAAAAACCTCTTGCCCCAGAAGCGTTTGCGGTTTAAAGCGTAAACCCTACCAGCAAGATTGAGAAAGGAAGCTGAGGGAGGAATCCTGCGGCCTGACGCCGTAATAGCCACAAGCCCAGGCGCCCCTAAACCTTAAACCCGGATGCTACCTAAATCGGAAAACAAGACCATGAATCACGCACCCATGGTTCAGAAAGCAGCAGAAAACAGCGAGGTTTGAAGCAGCATGCATGGACAGCCATGAATTTACATCGGTCTCTCTCACTGGCGGGCCACCGCCGTAGCTTGGAGTGGGCGAGCAAGGACAGAAGAGCCCAACCCCAACCCAACCTAACCTAACCTAACCTAACCAACCCTAGCCTAATCTGCAATGCAAGAGGCCAGGCCCGTAACCTAACCTAACCTAACCTAAGCTAACATGATAGGTTTAAGGGTGTGCTTTTAGGGTTTAGGTTTAGGGATCTCCCCCAAAACACATTTATTGGAGATAGGTCTACTAAGTACCCTCCTTATGATAGGCGCCGATAGACCCCTATACAGACCCCTATGGTAACAAATTTGTCACTTGCGCTCGAGCAGCAAGGTTTGCTTTGTTTAAATAAGGGGTTGTTAGGGTTTAGGGTTTAGGGGTTTTCAGGGTTTAGGGCTTAGGGCCTTTAGGGTGTAGGTCTTGGGGCGTTTTAGGGTTGAGGGCTTAGGGGGTTTTAGGGTTTGGGGTTTTTTTGGTTTAGGGCTTAGGGCTCAGGTTTCGTTTTGGGTTGAGGGCTTGAGGCTTTAGGGGGTTTTTAGGATTTAGGGTTTAGGGTTCCTAGGGTTAGGGTTCAAGGTTTTGCAGGGTTTTTGGGGGTTTAGAGTTTAGGGGTTTTTAGGGTTTATTTTTTTTGGTTTAGGCCTCAGGGTTTTTTAGGCTTTAGTGGGTTTTAGGGTGTAGGGTTGGGCTTTTGGGGTTTAGGGTTTCGGGGTTTTTTTATGGTATTAGGGCTTAGGGGTTTCAGGCTTTAGGGGTTTTGGGGGTTTAGGGTTTAGGGATTTTTAGCCCGCCCTCCCATTTGCAAACACAACACTCGCATGATGGGTTCGAATAAAAATAGAGCGGGGGGAAGGGGGGGGGGTTGGGCGGGGCGGGGGGGGGGGGGGGGGGGGGCAGCCCCCCCCCTCCCCCCCCCCCTTTGCAAACACAATGCTCGCATGATGGGTTTGAAAAGGCATGCCTATGTTTAGGGGTTTTTAGGGTTTAGGGTTTTTTACGGTTTGGATTTGGGGTTTGTACGGTTTAGAGTTTTCGGGGTTTGAAGTTGAGGGGTTTTTAGTGCTTAGGTGTTTTTGGGTGTAGGGTTTATTGTTTTTTCGGGTTTATTGTTTAGGATTTAGGGTTTAGGGGTTTGTTAGGGTTTAGGTTTTTTTTAAGGGTTTCGGGGTTTTTCGGGTTTAGGGGTTTTTGGGGTTTTAGGGTTGACTGATTTTAGGGGGGAAAAAACATTGCGCCCACCCTTGCTGACTTTTGTTTCTGATTCGTGCCTTGGTGTTTTCTGATTTGCACCGCCGTGTTTTCTGATTTGCACTCCTGTTTGCTGAGTTGTGCTTGGCTGATTTGCCTGTTACCCCCTTGAACCCAAAGCACTCACACCTCCAGATGAAAGGCCGAAACCCTGAAGTTGCCCGAAGAATCTGAAGACCCTCACCCCTAGAAGCCTTGGAGGTAAAGCCAAGAGCCGCTACACATAGACCCAAGCATCATAACCTTTCAAGACCATCCCCCAGACCCTGAAATCCGACCTTTTCGGCGCACCCATCCAATTATGCATTCCGTGTTTTCATCGTTCGTTGCAGTGCAGCTTGCGACACCAGGCTCCAATGGCACGTGCTGCGTTTTGGATTCTAGGAGAGGGCCTCTTCTGAGAATTGATACTAGTCCAACCGAAGAACCACCATGCTGAAGCAGTTGTGGGGCATGCCTCAAGCCAAATCATTTTTGAAATTTTCCTTGTCCAGCATTATAATTCAATCAGAAGCCGGGAGTTTTGAACATCTTTGAGTGTGAACTTTCCTTCCACAGGCAATCGGTAGTTTGATGGGTAGTCTCGTGTTTATCTTTTGGGGTGGGTTGCTTTCTCGTTGGTGGTCGATACATGTTTCACGTTGCTGGCATCAAAAGAGTGCTTGCCAAGCAAACAGCAGTAAACTATTTGCGAGGGGTGTGGTAAGAAGCGCATAGCACAGGTAACGCACCAACGCTGAGGTCGCACGCTTCCATGAACCACGACAGAGACGTTGTTTGTGACCATGTGCTTAGTTGATCCTTGCGTCAGGACCTGCCCAGTTCACTGCCACGAGAAATGCTGCCCGAGGAGCAACATGAGAGTCCGGCCACGCTGCTCAGTTATTTGGTTTTCATCCTCGTTTTGTATGGGTCAGGAGTTGAGGGATGCTCAGTGAGCTGGGCGGAGGCCAGCAAATCCCACCCGCAGGCTGGAAGAGTCTGTCATATTTTGGAGGATGAAGAGAGTGCACACATTCGTGACATTCTTCTGCGACCGATTTGGCTCATGCAAGTTTCATTCTGCAGGGACTCCGAGTCGGACGACAGCGACCACCAAAGGAATGGATGAACTTCGCTGACTTGCAGATGTGAGTGCCATGCACCTGGCAAAGGCGGCCGCAAGATCATGCAGACAGGATTCGAGCTGCCAGCAAGACGAGTCCAGAAACTGTGTGCACGTAGGCGTTTAGTGAAAGGGTGTCTGGACTGTGTTGCATTCCCTTGCTCGGTTTTGATGCGTCTCTGTTTGACGGTTCGGTGCATGTTGCATATGCTCGCTGGAACATGTATTTTGAGGGCCTGCCATCCGTGTGCGCAAACTCTCCTTCCTTTCGAGTGCCTTCGACGATGCATGGGCAATCATGGGCAGCGTCTGATCTAACTTGTACTCTGTTCTTGACATGCGGGATGCCCACTCTGTCGTTTAGATGTATCTGATGCGACATGAAGACCATCTACCTGAGAATTCTTGATTCCAGAGTATTCGGTCAGAGTGGTTCAATGCACTGCTTGTCAACATACACACCCTCCCCTACGTGGTGCTTGCAGGACAGACTTGGTGACACTAAAAGAACCCTAAGAACACCTTGGCATTCGTAGCATCCTCCAATGCTAGAGTTGCCAGAGCAGAAGCTATGCTGTGATTGAGCCATACGCTGGCGCGTGGAAGATGTAGACGGAGCTAGATGCCCCTGCGCTACAAGTCGGAAGAGGCTTCTAGATGCCATCAGACAAACGAGTGACGTGTTCCTGTATGACTCCAGGCCAGCTGCTGTTGTTGGAGTGTATCTCCAGGCGCCTGAGATGGTCCGAGATTGCATGAGAATACGGGGAGGGAGGTTTGAACAAATCCTCTGAGCGGAATGAGAGATGCAGAGGTGCTTGGGTTTCTTTGTGGCACCGAAGATACGAGGCTTCACGGCTGGCATCCTGCGTGCAAGCTTTGTCAAAGCCATGGCCTTTGCAGGTTGCATCGGAAATGGATTCCACATCGACATTGTCGAGCTCGGTAGCCTCACTTGATGAGGTGGCGCATCATAATCCCCAACATTCTTTGCCCCGTTTTGCCCCGTTTTGCCCCACTTGCTTTTCCGGAAGAGCTAATTGATATTGCCCCTCTTGCTCCTCCGCATAAATGACTTGGGGCCATCCCATGGTGAGCCAAGGGGCGGGGAGGCTTAGGGCGGCGGAACAGGGGAGGGGAAAGGAAGGGGAAGAGAGGCCGACAGGGCCTGCAAGGCAAGTGAGGCAAGGGGCCAATGGGTGGCAGAAATCAGTTAGCGGTGCAGATGGGGCAAGTGGAAGTGGGGAAGTGGCACATATGGGCAGTGTTAGCAGCGCCATGCAAGGTCGGTTTCCACTCGCACTGATCCCTTGCCTTTGCTTGTGGAATCTTTTGGGCAAGGCCTCAAGAACTGCTAGTGTGGTTGTTCACGGCTGGCAAAGCGACACCGTGGACAAGCTGCTGCAAGCGGCTCTGGTTCCAAAGCTGCATTGCGTCGTTATTTGGAGCAATTTGCTCATGGACAGCACACCAAGGTCAAGTGTAGATCGTCTTCGAGTCTTTCGAGCTCTCAAGATGAGTCCTGAGCGCCAAGAAAAGTCCGCCAGCCTGTCTGGAAATTCTACGCTTGGTAAGACAGGTATTCTACATAATTCTGCAGTATCTGGAAGGGTGACGTCTTGAGCAGGGCACCGGTGAGTACCCTACCGGTCCGCGAAACCCAGAAAGCTACTCAGATCATGCCTAACTGTAAGTGGAATAGCGGAGAAGATGCCAGCACGCCCAAGTTTTGTCTGAGGCCCAAGGTGGATGCAAGTTGCAAGAAAGTAGCTTGGATAGGCGAGTGCGCCAGGCCACCATGGCATGTGCGCACCTTCCTTTCGTTCCTGCTTTACTTTGCTTGCCCTGCTGCGTGTAGCATCATCAAGACGGCTTTTCTTGGCAGCCGCGTATTCCGCTACCGTGAAAGATACAACCGCGAGAACATATATATAAAACAGGGGATGCTGTTGGCTTCCACACTTTTTGCAGATACGGCAAATTGCCGTAAAAAGTTCCCGGACAACTCGGTGCTGAGCATGCGAAGCCATTCCAAGTGAACCGCAAACACTTAAAACAAATTGATGTGCGCAGAAGCTCTTCGCTACTCCAAAAGCCAAGAGCTCAGGTTGGCAGAAGTTGGACTCTTGGAAAATGCTCTCAAGCGTTGGCGTCGTTGGCGTCGTTGGCCGTTTTTTGGAAATTTGACATGAGATCAGCGAACATCCGGCGAACATCAGTTGCCGCAGTTCCCTGCGAAGTGAACAGCTTTCCAAGAACGTCGTGTTGCCCAAGCTCCACATTAAAGAGACAAGCTCTTACAGAGATGCAACTCGGAACTGGAGGTTTTTCGTGCTGCAATGTTGGCTGACAGCATGGCCGCATGAGGATCTATGATTTTGGAAACTTGAGGTTGAAGACCTGGGCGTTGTCAAGTGTTAACAAGCAGGACAACTGAAGCTCAAAACTATCTAAAGCTGAAACAGTATCTCTGCGTCGTTGTTCCAACATGTCGTCCGCTATAGCCCTTTGTATTCGCTTGAGAAATCATGGCCACCGCCAGAAGCGCCGCCGGCGCAGCCTTCTTGGTGGTGCCTTTCTTTGCTTTCGTGAACCTTGGCAATGGCCACTGGACCTATTTGCATCAGCCTTTGAACATCTTTTGTTACAGATTGTTACTTGTCAATGTGTCAGACTGTGTTGGGTTCCGTGTGCATCCTTGGCTTTGAGGCTTCATGTCGCTGCCGGACACGGCCCCTGCTGGACAGATGCCGCATGATGCCACACGCTACCAGCACACTAGTAACTGCTGTGACAGAGAGAGATGGCTTTCACTTGTCGGGTTTCATGCCTGAGACCACCCAAATCGCTTCTTTGTTACAGGACGTGTGCTTAGTGGAGGCATGGGCTCTGAGAGGCGACGATCCTGGATTGCTTTGGCAGGGGCCATTGCCAGCGAAATGGGAGTCCCTTGGTTGTGACGTGCTGATGGTTGTACGCCATTAATGTAAGCCTTGCGAAGGAAGGAACAACGTCGAGGTACCACGTTGTATCTTGATGCGCTCCTAAAGCTGCAGGTGGAAGCCAGTGCAAAAGCAGAAGAGGAGAGCGCAGCTAGCGCATCCCTGTATGTAGTTGATGAAACGAATTTGCTGGCACCTTCCACGGAAAAGTACTTGGAGCGATTGCTGAAGAAGCTACAAGCCGACACAGGCTTGAAGCTGCGTGCGCTGCTCAGTTGCTTTTTCCTGCTTGTCATGGCTTCGTTTATACTTGGCCCAAAAGTCCAAGAGGAGGCCAATACTCCTGAGAGATTCGAGTATCCAATCACGTGGGCTTTAAGGAGTGATCTGCCCTCCCAGAGATCTTCAGACAGATCGTGATGCATTCCAGGCTACCTGCCACTGAGGAGTTTTCGCGTGTGCCTTTGTCCTTGCTTCTCTATGCCCTGTGTCAACCAGCGCTCTGAGGAATATTTAAGACCAATCAGCAAGAGGCTGGGAACGGACTCGGCGAGCGTGGTAATCCTTGCTGAGGAGCTGCATGGAATGGTACTCGTAACGGGTTCTTCTTTCGTGTGGGATGGCATGAACTTTCTTCCCTGGAGGAACGTTTCCAGAAACGGACGGGGCGACCATTGCCTCTGATGACTGTTCAGGTTGGCTTTCGTCTGCAAGAGCGCTTTCAGTACCGGTTGACCAACGACTACATTCTGAGCGTGGCAGACAAGTATGGATTTCCCCCTACTGTGGATCGAATAGGTCCTGATTTGGCAATCCAGGAAGCTACCAAGAACGTGGCAGCTTGCCTGTTTGGTTTGAGTGATGATACAACAAAGCGATTCTTGCGGGTGTTGCCTGAAGAACAGGTCCTTAAGATCCTGCAGAAGCACAACGCTTGACTTCCCTTGTGAGTGTTTCAATCCAGGGGTGTCACATCTTAGTATGCAGATGAACCGAGGGCCAGTGCTATATGGTGCCGCATGAGGTTGTATGCGCTTTAAAAAAATTGCATGTCATCCCGTTTGGATACGCGCTTCAGGTCGCTTTTGCCCTTGAAGTGGTGCATGCTTGCTGAATGCGTGCAGAGGTTCAGAGGAACATTTGGTTCCTGATTCAAGACAGTCCCAACACTAGGTTTACTACGAATCGTTTCCTTGCTGGTGTAGTTCTGAATCATGTCGATCCTATTCGTGAACGAGCCCCAAAGCTAAGACCGCAAGACACGAAAGCTAGCGGCACGCGCGTAAAACGCTGAATGCTTGGACTTGCCAAAGAGAGCCTGCAAGCCAAGCACAATGATGACACTTGAGTCGTTGGATTGGTCTCAGGCTGGGGACACGTGGCTGAAGGCAGCTGGGGGTCCATTTTCACAGAACAATTCTTCGTGCAGGCTGCCGACCTTTTGCACGGCAGTCTCGAGGCCAGGGTCGGACCGGCGGATAAAAGTGTCAGAGAAATCCCAAAAACTTCATGAAGTATCCCCCAGCAAGTGACCAAATGATCCAAAATGATGCATATCCAGAGTTTAAAGCAGCCAAAGGCCCGGGACGAGCACGCTGAAACCGTTATGACAGTCGGCGGTGTTTTTCCTAGTTCCCCTGTCCAGGTGGGATCCTGGACCGCCCTACACGAATCGATCCACGCCAAGATTCTAAAGGGCGAGTACTCGCCTGCACTCACGGAGGTCGGATGTTTCAGAGGAGATCAAAGATGTTGTCCCCGCTCTACCATGCCGTGCCAGAGAAAACTGACCTAACCGAACAGTCGAAACATCGCGAACCCGAGCCTCCCGAGAGAACCGACTCGATGGCTGGTGGCACTGCAGAAATTCCAACACTCTGCTCTCGCGGATCTACGTTGCGAGTCTAAGCTTTCCCGCATTGGTTTGGTATGGTTTCGTTCTGTACTCTGTTTCATCAACATGTAAAGAAAGCTTTGCCTGCAGGCACAGACAAATCTGCAAAAGCTTCACGATGCGGGCTGCCAGGAAGGCGTTGCAGTTCTTCTCGTTGCAGAGGCTCTGCATCTGAGTCAGACGGTGCGTGGAGTTTGAAGTGATTCGCCACCTGCTGTTTCCAGTCTGAAATATGCAGCATCGTGCAGGCAGAGTGTCTTTCAGCATTTCGGAACTGGCGTGCAGCCGTTGGGGCTGCAACAGAAGGACTGCTGCTTGCACAGCGGTTGTCGCTCAGGCCTGCCTATGTTGAGCTGACCTGGTAGCAGAACCGGCATAACCCAACAACCTCCATTGCTGGAGCTGCTAGGTCTCTGGAATGCTATGCATCCTTCGCAGTCCTTCCTTATGCATACTTGCAGCTGGGAGAATCAGACAAAGCATCTGAAGCTGCCCAACATGCTTATGAACTCTGTCGTCAAATCGTTGACCGGAAGATGCGAGCGAAGACGTGTATGGCAGTGGCCAGAGTTCTTCAACTGGTATCGTCGGACGCATCAGATGCAGAGACTTGCATCAGGGAGGCTGGTCTGGTGCGCTTTTTTTTTTTTTGCGTGCGTTTGTTTTAGAATGCACGCCTGAACCCTCAGCAGCCTCATGTTGCGAGAGGCACTAGTAGCTTTTCGAGCGTTGGACGATCCAGTTGGAGAAGCTGCAGCGCAATCCTCTTTAGCTCAGGCGGGGTCCTTCAGTTTTGATGCTTGAACCACTACTACGCTCCGTTGCCGTTTCGTTTCATGTGAGGTCCTGGTTGCTCAAGATGCCTGCCACGAAGCGGTAAGGCATGCATTCTCGCATTCGGGAACCCTGAGATTCACATGGCGTCGCAACGTGAAGCTGTGCTGCCAGGCCTGCGAGAGAGGCCGTGCGCCTTTCTTCTGAGAGGGGCCGCTGTCTTGCTGCAGCGCACGAGGCACTTGCACCCTGGCTGCCCCTACTTAGACAGAGTCCGTCAGCATCCGTCAGAGTCCGTCAGAGCCCGCGGCACCTGTGGCACCTTTACGGCACCTGCAGCACCTGTGGCACCTGCACAAGCACTTTTACGACATGTACGAGAGCGTTCTGGCCCAGGTGGCAGCTCTGCTCGGATGCAACAGAGTGGCGGAGGCAAGACAGGCTGCTGAGGGCGCGCTGTCTGAAGTACGGTGGCTTGGCATCCGCAAGCAAGATTGTGCTGTGGCTGGCTTGGTACGATGGACAGCACAGCACATGTAATCATGAGGCAGCAGGGAGACAAGAATGGAGAAGCGGCTTTGCTTGTCGCATTGGCCCAGACCCTTGCAGCTGCTTGGCAGCCAACTGGCAGGTATATAATCATGGCTTCACCTGTCGTTCTCCTCTAGTGTGAGGCGGAGAAGGGCGCCTCCGAGGAGGCTTTGTCAACTCTTCAGGACAGCGTGCCTTGATGGTGTTGTTCGTGGCCCTTCAGAAACAACAAAAACGTATCGCAAGTATCGCTCCAGAGCACTCGAGTTGGGGAAGCGTGCAGTGAATTACGACATGTTTTAAGTAGTGGCTGGCCACACGTGTGGGATGGTACCCTGACTTCATTCTGTGTTCCACGACAAACCGCAGCCCTGTTGTTCATGGCAGCGTCATGCGCTTCCAGACTTCGATTGGCTTAAAGATTCTTTTCGGGTGGGCCTATGAAAACACACATCCGAGTCAGCAAGCTCAAGCTTGCCGTGAGAATGCCAGACAGGGAGCCTTGCTCGTAGTCAGCCCCCCATAAACAAAAGCGCTAGTAAAACAATAGTTATTTTTCCAGGCTCGGGGTTGCACGATGAGCATGACCATGCAGCTGCAGTTGTGCCCTGTGAATGCGGTGCTTGAAGGGGAAGAGAGGGGGTTGGGTAAACCCTGCAACCACGCCACGGCCCTAAACCCTAAGGCCTAAAGCCAAAACTCCAGGCTTAACCCCAATCCCCAAGCCCCACAACCACACCATGAGAGCGGAGGGGATCCCCTCGGGGGGGTGTGGGTGGGTAAGCCCTGATCATAGGCATCAAAGGGGAGAGGCAGCAGCTACGGGGGCGAGAAACGCGACGAGTTGTGTGCAGGCAGACAGGCAGGCAGGCAGGCTTTTTCGCATGCTGTCGACTGTGTTTCTGCAACCGTCATACCTTTTAACCCTTGTTTTGTTTGCCGATGTACAATTGCTGGCTTACATGCTTCATGTCCACTGGCAGGAAGCTCTCAAGCTACGTCAACAGATTAGCTTGGAGATGTCCGCAAAAGTTCATCTGGAGGCTGTTGATTTGCCTTTGATTGTGTACAAGTACTCTTCGAACGGAGCGTTGATTGTGTGGTGGAAAGGCTAGCAGGCTTCTGTGCCGTAGCGGGATGCTGGATGAGACCCTTGAGCATGCTCAGGACTGTTGACCGGGACATCCGGACTTAAGCTGCCTCCTAAATTTCCCTGGATGCCACTCCACTTGCATTTTGAGGAAGCTTTGGTATCATTTCGCCAAGCTCGAGATTGGCTTGGAGAGAGATCTGCCAATGTGGTTCTCAGCGAGGTTCTGGACCTTACGCTTGCTACAATCACTCTTCTTGATTCCCACCATTTTGCACCATTTTGCACCAGAACATGCTTTCTCGATAAACGGCATGTGGCTGGATGTTGGAAGTAAGATGAAGTAAGTAACAGGGGCCGCGCAGACTCCGAGATCAAAGAGAGCAGGTGTACACTCGTCGTGGTGAGCCACAGCTGGCACCGAACAGGCCTCTTGCACCATCTTTTTTCAATGAGCAGGTGTTGTGCTAAGTCCCCACACGTGTTTTGAAAACCCTTAGTGTTGCCAGCACGTGGACCCTAGCATTACGTAGTTGTGAAAACAAGGTGAGAACATGTGATGCAACTACGTGATGTGCAAAAAATATGCTGCGCGAGGCCTGAAGCCATGCGATTGGTGAAGGACATGGCCCAGGCTGTGCAAGAGCGGAATGCAGACCATTACCACAGCGCCGCTGCAAAGTATGCACCTTTGATCTGCAACTATAACAGATGCTTTGGGCCTAAAGTTACTCTGTGTGTGTGTGTGTGTGTGTGTGTGTGTGTGTGTGTGTGTGTGTGTGTGTGTGTGTGTGTGTGTGTGTGTGTGTGTGTGTGTGTGTGTGTGTGTGGGTGTGTGTGTGTGTGTGCGCGAAAAGACACGTTGCTGTGTTTTGTCCATCTAGGCCAGTCTGGCGATGTCTGGGGCACCTGTTTCTACTTCAGAGCAACGCGAGATCTTCAAAGGCATTTTGCAGAGGCTGCGACACAGATGTTTTGACATGATCTGCGTGGAGCGGCGCGTCCGGCCTTGGTGTCGTCGTTTTGCCACTGTCAGGGATGTGGGCCCCTCTGGAGATTTCATCCGCGCCAATGCTGTATCGACCACATCCTCTACCATGGCAGTTGGCTCCACTTTCAAGAAAGTGGCTTGCTTTGCAAGTATCTGTGCTATCAGCTGTTGATGCTAAGTCTTTGAAGTGATTCGCTCATTTCGTGGAAGATTGTGTGCTGCTGTCGAGCCTCCATGTGGGCTGCAGTGTTCCGAGGCAGAAAAAACGGCATTCTACGTCCACTTCCGCAACTCTGGCATTGCCTATGGACCCAGGCGCGTGTTGAAGGCAGTTGAAACCAGCTTGAAACCAGAATGCTTGCAGTGTGCTTGATTCTGTTCATCTGTTCAGGTACCGTGCTGTTGATATGGCCATAGGTCGGAGCACTCCAGCCAAAGGCAAGATCAGCCATGGTGTGCCTCGAGTCCTTACAGAGAACTGCCATGGTGGCAGGTGACGAGTTTGAGGCCGCTGCCTATGCAGTGTACCAGATCCAAGAGGATGCGGAAGACTGGGAAAGGTCTCTCAGCTCACATCCGTCTCTGCTGGATGCAGCTCTGCAGTCGGGCTCGATCATCGGACTCGCTCAGCATCTCTAACAGCTTCGCGCATCCCATAGTTTCCTTTAGTGAAGCAGCTACGTGCAATGCTCCTGCTGCTGACAAGTCTTCCACTTCTCGGAAGTTTGGATCCGTGGCAGGAACAGCCAAAACAAAGGTCGAGCAACATTGCCTGTTGTGCATCGTGTATGCCATGCTCTGAAACATCCTCAGCTGCCGCCCTGAATGCCGCAATCAGCAAGTCAAGAGGGATTTTTGATTTCCAAACTCGGCCTCGTGGACACCAGGCAAGGAACATCCTGTTGGCTGGAATCTTTTGTTCCTTGCTTCCTTTCCTGCACAGAGGCCGCACACGAGAGATGCTGTTGTCTCGGATCGCTCGCTCAGCTGCTTGCTCAGTTGCTCAGTACTTTGAAAATGATCTCGTTCGTTCAGCGAAACGGCTTAACAAGGTCATTGCTCCCCTAGAGCGAAACATCAAGCCAGATGAGTTCATCTCTTTCAATGGCGGCGGACCGCCATGCTTCACTTGCATGCAGCTGGCGTGGGCCATTATGGCCACTTTTCACATCAGGACTTCATGGAGCCTTCGAGATTCCAAACTACAGGCTGGCTTGCTTCTTGCAACTCCTCACATGGGCTTTGAACATATAGAAGCACGCCTGAACTGGAGGCGTGCACCCTTCTGGAAGTACTTCTGGGCGCAGCACTTCGTGACTCGCCAACACGTCTTCAATGCAGCAGCCTCGGACAGCACCGCTTGTGCACCGTGTGACCGCTGTGCCGCTGCATTCTATAGTTTATGTTTGTGTGAGGTTCATCACACCGGTTACATCGTGCTGTGTGTTTTCTTCTGGTGGTTCACCACCCAGGGGGTATGCCAAACGTAGTCATACAACCTTCAAGCAACATGGCAATCGCTTTTGTTTAGGTGGCGGTTTGGTGCAATGACATGAGGACGGGGGCTTTTTCCACAGCACCGATTGAGCGCAGAGAGAAGTACTACATGCATTCGCCAAAGTTGGCCTCTGAGTCCGGCACGAGTTTAGCTTGGCTGTTCTTGCCTAGACGGTACAGTCTTGTTTGGAATGTTGTGCTGCTGAGGTTTAGGCTCCAGGCCGCTTATGCGAACCCAGGCAGGACGGGACAGAGAGAGAGAGAGAGAGCGGAGAAGAAGAAGAAGAAGAAGAAGAAGAAGAAGAAGAAGAAGAAGAAGAAGAAGAAGAAGAAGAAGAAGAAGAAGAAGAAGAAGAAGAAGAAGAAGAAGAAGAAGAAGAAGAAGAAGAAGAGGAGACAGAGAGACAGAGAGACAGAGAGAGAGTGAGAGTGAGAGCGAGAGCGAGGGTGAGAGTGAGAGTGAGAGTAAGAGTAAGAGCGAGTGTGAGAGTGGGAGTGCGAGTGAGAGTGAAAGTGAGAGTGAGGGCCCCAAAGAAAGACACAGAGAGAGAGAGAGAGAGAGACGTTTCTAGCAGAAGAAGAGGAAGGACCGCCTGATCACATGGTGCAACGTTCTTGGCCAGTAAATTGTGCAGGCTGGTGTTTCTGATTTCAGCAACCTGCTGGATCCCACCCCCCCTAAATGGACGCAGATTGGGTTTAGACTCTAGACAGGAACCTCCCCTGCAATCACTTGAGCTCAGAAACTGAAAGTCGAAAAGCGGCCGCTGAATCGAAGGAGACCAGCAGGCGAGGCGGTGACCCGGAATCAGAAACAAAGCACCAGCATTCAGCCGCTGAATCCTGGGAGACCAGCATGCGAGTCGATGAGCAAAATCACACAAAATGGGGCTACACTACGAATCAGAAGCCAGCGCGAATCAGAAACAGCAATCAGAAACTGGTAGCATCAGGAACTGCTCACAAACCAGAGCGCAGTAGGGGGGGGGGGGGGGG